CATTGGGATAACGGTTAAACTTATCGATGCTTTATTTGATTTTTGGGAGGAGATTAGAAGATGTTATTTCTCAAAAATAGAAAACATCGATAGAAAATTTCAAACATTATCGTCACAATACGTGCGGTATTTGGATGTAGTTGGAAAACAGGATGACTACACAAGTCATTACCATTTTCTTAGAATTTGTTACCGCATAGTGAGAAGTGGGAACATTTCAAGAATAGCACCTGAAAAGGTGAACATGAAGAAGCATGTTGATAATATCAAAGGTAGTTTAGGGACTCATCAAAAGGTAGTTGAGGACTTAGAAGCTATCGAAAGAAAAAATGAAAACGATCGCCTTGATGTTCCGCGAGTCGAAAGAAAAATAATGAGCAAAATTAAAATTGAAGAAGGGCTGCCAACAAGGAATTTACAGGAACACAAGAATCCTGTATTTGCTCCTCCCGAAGAAGAAGAAAGTGAAACCCCGGCCAAGCATTGTATTAGCGATGGACATAAAGACAAGATTGATAATTTCCGTCTGGAACGCCCGGGATGGTTCAGAAGTCGTGGAGAACATAACAACATGGGTATGAGTAAACGACGTATCCATGCAGAAGATTTGTCATTGAATCATGGCAAGGATTTAAAAATATCCCAGGTATCTGATCATCGCTGGCGGAGAGATCCAGACTTCAAGTGGTTGGTGGATGTCATGGGTGCAATTACCTAGTTTCAAGCAGCATACTTCGGAGATTATTTTTACGTTAGAAATTAATTTTGAAATAAGATATAACTTTAGCACAGTTTTATCCAATTCTTAATATTAAGAAAATTATGTTTATTTTATATAATTTAAAAAAATAGAATCGATCGAAGTTTGTTAAAAGATTAGGATCTTTTAAGGCCGGGAGTATGTTTAGTTTTGTAGAAACTGTACATGTTGTAAAAATAGTTTGTGTGTTGAATGTTCTTCTTTAAATTCTTATCTCATTTTTATTTGTCTTTTCCGAAGAATGTAAATTAGTTAAATAAAGAAAACACTTAAGATGCATGTGTTTTCCAAATGCTAGGTTTACGGTCGGTAATAAATAATGTAATAAATGTCACGGCCATAAATAGAAGATAAGAAAGAGTCGATCACAAATTAGGTACGTTTCGTTTTCTCCCGCAACGTATTGTGTGCGTTAATGCACAGCGTGCATTAGTAAATAAAATGCATGTGTTAATGTATTAGATGTAAGCTTTAGTGTTAAGAATATGTTGTAAATAAATTGAGTTCCCTTCCAGCCACGGAACGAGAAAGATCAACTCGCGGCATTTTCTTTTTCTTTCGTTAGTTACATCGCTTTGTGATGAGGTTAGGAGTCGACCTCATCAGGTTGTCTTAGCGAATGACCAATCCATGTCCATATTAAGTTTGTCACTCCATTTGTAACACCTCGAAATATAGATTTAAGACCCCTTTTGGTATTGAAAATGGGTGAAAATGGGCGTTTTGGTATAGTCCCCATATAATGGTACCTTCCTTTTTTTCGGAATTTTGGTGATTTAAGCGACATTATTCACCGGAAATGTTTCAAATTTGGTATTTGAAGTTCGTAATGGTTACTACAGCCTATGACAAAAAATTGTCTGTGCAGGTACACGTCTTCGTATAGCCCCAGTATAACGTACCTCCCGATATTCGGTATTTTGATGATTTTAACAACATTATTTTCCGGAATTGCTTCAAATTTGGGATTTGAAATTCGTAATGAGTACTACAGCCTAAGACAGAAAATTGTCTTCGCAGGCCCACGTCTTCATATAGCCATCATTCAAGTTTCGCATTTGAATATTGTAATGGCTCATGACAAAAATTGCATATGCAGGTCCACGTCGTATAGAACCTAACATAACGGCTACATTCGGTATTTTTAAGATCTTAACAGAATTTTTAACGAATTGTATTTTCTTGAAAATTGCCAAAATCGTTCCAAATGGTGGAGAGTATTCAAAGATCGGCCCCGACGAACTTACAGCTTTTTTACTTGTTTTTAAGTATTTAAATTGCTAATGAATTGCAGTTCGCCATTTTCCAAAGCGATTCGTTTGATATCCAGTTGGGCCTGTAAACGTGTTATATTTGTTTGATTTTTAGTTTCACAAAATATTGTACCTTTTGTTGCGTGGATTTTGTAAAGCTCCATGTAGAACATGCGCCGTACAGCTGCTGTTGAATATTTTTTTATTTTGTTTTCTTGAATTTGGATATGGATCTCCACAAAATTTCATAAATGCTGACCGCGCCTTATTGATACCATCAATTATGTCTTTCGCTGAACCGCTATCTTTGGATATTATGCATCCAAGGTAATTGAACGACGTTACATCTTCAATTGTTACTTCATTCATGGTCATTGGCCTTGAGATTTCTGAACAGATACGCATTTGCTTAGTCTTGGTGAAATGCATTTGTAATCCGACCTTATAAGCGTTATGGGATAGTTTCATAAGTTTTGCCTCCATATCGAAGAAGTTGTGTGTCAATAGACAGATACCATCAGCGTAATCAATATTACCAATAAAATTGTTTATGTCCCTTCGTATACCATCAGGAACATGTGAGTTTGTTTCTTTCATTGCCCAGTCCAAGAATACGATGAATAACGTGGGTGATAATACACATCCTTGTGTCACTCCCGGAGTTAGCTCTACTTACCATTATAGCGTACTTTATATTGAGCTCCATTATTCAGTTCTTGTTTTAGGGAGACTATCTAATCTGGAATATCATTATTTATAATGAGTATCAAGATGGCATCAGTGTCGAATTCTCGTTCGAATATAAAGAGGAGAGTTGTGCTCTATCGATTGCTCGATTATGTAACACAAGCTATATTATCTACTAACGATTTTCCCGATTGTCCCGGCCTAAACCCGCTTGTTCTTTACGGAGCGTCTCACCAATCCACAGTGGTCGCTGTCATTGGCCAAAATTAAAAAAATGAAAATCAGATATTTATTGTCAAATGTGTACACACGAACTTTTAAGAGGTTAAGCTTTTAAGAAAAAATAATAATTTGGGTTTCATTCTAACGGCCCACTTCGAGAATAGCATAAAAAAGGAGAAAATGTAGTTAGTTGCTTTTTTCAGTGCGATCAGTGAAAAAGTGGAGCAAAAATAGAACTGTATTACAAAATTAAATACATTTTAAAATGACAAATCTTGGCATAATTATTGAAAAGCAAGGTATTGACTTATTTCTAGTGCAGTAATTTGCGTGTTTAGTAGTTGTGTATAATATAGAAGATGTGAGTGTTCTGAGTTGTCTTTAAGATTAATTTTGAGAATAATATTGGATTTCAATTAAAGTTTTAATTGTTTTCCCCCCTGAATCCTCCAATGTAATTTTTTTCACGCCATTAGTAATGGTCCTAAGATTCTAGAAGTGCTAATTTAACTTTCAGATTTTGTCAGATTTGTATGTTATGGCCAATATACTGAAGTGACTTCACTCCAATTTTGTCAGTTCTATGGTGTTAGTGACATAGAATATGTTTTTTTTTTTTTTGTTTGGGATTGATAAGGATATAATTGAGGGGTGTTTAATAATATTGCCTGCATTGTCTTCTGGGTATAATATTAATGTCCAAAAATGTTAGGCCTTTGCACTGGAAACAGCTAAAGAGTTAACAAATAGAACTATCTTCCACCCGCAGCTTATAAAATTGTAATACATGTACCCGACATTACAAATTTGTCATTGTATCGATTGGAGAATTATAGGAGGCAGCCGTGGAGTCTAGAAACAAAGATATAAAAGAGTTTCGACTAAATCATACCCGAAAAAATTCTCGTGTTTCAACAAACACAGATCTTATTAACCTCCAAACCAAGCAAAAAAATCTGTATTATTAAAATCTGCATTTGATTTACTTGAATAACACTGAAATTTATAAATATCCATTAGTAATTTGATTTAATTTTATATTGAATTGTTTATTTTGTTTACAAAAAAATTGTCTATTTTGAATTGATTTGTATAAAAAATACTTCTATTTTTGGAGGTACCTATACAGGGGGACTCTACCTGAAGGCAGGCCGTTCCTAATAATTTTCAGTAAGACTATTTTCAGCTCTTTAGAACGTAAGAAGAACAGAACAACCTAGTGTAGAAATGTGACAAAAATTGGGCAAATAACCCTTATTCGGGAGGTACTTTGTAAGGGGACCATGCCAAAACATGCATCGACCATATCCATTTTGTCACATTTTTATTTTTATCCCATCAAGGTACCATAACCAAAGAATCATATTGATATCTGCACTGAAAGTATTTTTGGCCGCTGTTCCCATACGACCTCGACCACTGTGCAATCACAGGTTGGATTCCTCGTAGAATTAGAGTAGCCACAAATTTGTCTATTGAGATTGGCAATGTTATGTCTCTTCAATTTTTGCAAAGTATTAGTTCACCTTTTGAAATAAACAACCGATAATTTAAAAAATAACACCGCTTAACCGGAAAACATTTTAAAAAGGTACTTTGCGCACGAATTAAGCTAAAATTTTAAATTTTGGTTTGCTTTCCTATAAAATACTGTCATTTTTTTTTTTTTTTTTTTGAATAATTTCATATTTCTCAAAAAAGTATTTGTACACAATGGAGTCCCAACATACCAAATTGACTTGAGAATAATATTTTAATAAGCTTTCAAACATAAGCCTTAAGCTTGAGAAAATCTTGAGAATGTATTGAGAAATGCTTGTTTAACAATTGTAGAATAATCGAAAGGGAACCCTTAAGGGCTAAGTACATAACAAGCTTGAAGTCATAGCTAGGCATATTAATGTCAAATTATAATGGAAAACGACGGCAGGATTTTGGTGCGGCTCTGTAATCCCTTTATGAAATGTCACAAAATATGCCTAGCCATGACTTCAAGCTCTTTATGTATTTCCAGCCTTATTCATAAGCTTATTCTTGTAATTGCAGAATAAGCTTACGAATGTAATATTATATCAAGCTTATTTTTTCAATGGTATAAAATATTTATTTTTTAATTTTTTTAATTATTTTACACATTTCATTCATTGATCGCCATCCCAGCTGTCGCTGCCTCCTGTTGCATTGATATCTAGATGCTTTCTTTCCCCTTATTTGAGCTTCCGCATCTCCTCCACTAATTCTTCACATCTCTTGAATTCTTGCAACTTTTTGACGCCTCTATTCTGAAATGAGATTGAAAAAATATACACTACAGATTCCCAGATTTATTATTCATCATTACCTTAGAGTTTCGTCCAGAAATGGGTCTTAAATTCGCGTGATTTTGATTTTAACCAAAGAAAATATTTTTTTTTGTTGACAATTTTCACAAAAAAAAAAAAAAAATCAAAACAAATTTGTCAACAAAGGACAGATTTGAGAAAAGTTTGTGCAAAAAAGTTTTTCTCTAGCAATGTTGAGGAATTCCTACGATAAACTATTTTCATAATATTATTCTCAAGCTGTATTGTATTTTTGGTATGTTGGGGTTGCTTCAAATTTGTGCTAAAATAGGCTTTGTTTGGAATTTTGATGACGGAATTGAAATGTTATCAGGCTCCTGAGATTGTACTTTTTGGTACAATAAAAATAAAGGATAGAGATCTTTCAAAGGCCAATAAATACCTTTATACTCTTGTGCTGAAAGGACGAAGCCGATTATTGTCTAAATAATCCTTAGGGAGCTAAAGGAGAATTCTCGAACATTCTCACCCAAAGAAGAAGCCACCGCCACTTGATTATTTTACGAGTTGACATTATTGTATAGACTTAGATTAAATATCAACTGCAGCTTGATTTCTTAATTGTCTTCACTTTTTCGCTGTTTTAGAGACTTAATCCGCTAGAGTTAACAATAAAACGAGTGCCATTCATTCCAATTTCCAGCAGATTTTCAAATCCCTTTAAACGGACAATACCTTCTACGCAATGATTTCAATTAAAACAATACTTTTCTTTGTGTTTGTATAAAATATGTTGTTTTTATTATTTTTTTTTTTTTCATTATTATGGTACATCTCTTAAAAAATTAAAAAAAAGTATGCATTACCTACATACATATGCATATAATTGTGTATCGCCTATTTTAACTGCCAATATCAATGTGTATTCATTTGTATTTGTTGTTGTTGTCTATTTACAATTCTCGGTATGGTTTGGTGTCTGTCATCCTTTTCTTTCTCCTAATTTGGCTTGAGCTGTTCTAGGATCACACTTTGGTATTTCAAGGGGCTTGGGAGGAATGTCCATTGGCAGTGAAGAAATAGAAACAAAATTAGATTCAGGCAAGTCGAGATTGTACGTCTGGTCAGAGTTATACGCATGTGAAAAAAGAAGAAACTAAAAAAAAAGTGTCAGCAATGATATGTCGTCATGAAAGTGGGGCACGGGAATTAAAATTAATTCTTCTACATCCGATATTATTTTTTCAACTTTTTTTATAAAAAAAAAAACTTAGGCTAATTAGTCAACAATCAATGAATAGTTATTTGCTAAACATTTTCTTTGTACGAGGGCAGTGCATCCGTCAGAGATTCTGAAAAAATAAAACCAGATTGAAATATGTATAAAACAACAATAACAATAAGTCTAGGGTAAGCATTTGAAGCAGCTCAGTCACAGATATAAAACGAAAACAAAATTATTTACTTAGAAAATAAACAGATATTTAATGGATTGAAAAAAATATATTATTTGGAATAATGCAGTATCAAGACACACATCTATTTAATCAAAGCATTCAAATATTTCTATAGAAGACATAGCTTAAATAATAGTTCAAAATTTAGTGATAAATCTGTACATTGGATAGCCTTATTGTACCCTACACCACGCATGTATACAAATTCGTGTCCGTAATGCCGTCGTTGATTACACTGTACGACAAGCTTATAATATTTTCAAAATTATGGGAATTGAAATGGGGTTAAAAAGGCAAATATATCGTCGTCTTCAAATTCATAAATTTGAAAAGTTCTTATATAATTGGTGTTTTTCAAAACAGTTAATAATTCCAAATCTGGGAGAGTCTTGGTTATCTAGGGATAAAAAATCTAAAATTGGAAATTTTATGACAAATTAGTGACCTATTCAATCCTTTCGATATCAGCCACATAAGATGGAATCTTGAGATTCCAATTTGAATTCAATCCCAATTCAACGAAGGATTGCCAACATAACTCCTCAAAAGAGAGGGCGCGAATTACAAAAAAATAACATTAAGCAATGAATGAACATTTGATACCAGTTCTACGGTCATATGAGAGCAACTACAAAATAGACCGACTTTATGCTATCTAACACCACTATGAATATTTAGTAGAGAAATATAGCGTCCTTATTTACATCAAATTAAAAGGAAATATATATGGGAAATGTATCATAACTTAAACCGATCTCGACAAAACTTGGCAAAGTTATTTTTAGGTATGTCCTAACATATTGAACTGAAAATTCTTGTTTTGGAGTGCAGAATACCTTGATGAACAATCGGACGAAACATATATGGGAGTTATATCAAAATCTGAACCGATTTCGTCTAAAATTGTCAAAGGTATTTTATTCAAGTGACGTTTCCCAGACCTAGAAGTTTATCGCTTTATAGGAGTACTTCCAAAACCAGATGTCCCGCAATGACACCCGTTAATGTGCTCGTTGCAGCTTTACTGGTGCCTTTTCCCTATTTTCTCATTATTCCACACAAAATGTGTGGGCTTTTTTTTCACGCAAACCTTAAATCTAGCTATACTTCCTCTAATGGCTTGGCACATTCTAGATTTACGTGCCTTAAACTGCCAGCATATATACTAGTTCAGAGCCTCTAGGTATTTTTTTTTTTTTGATTTCGCCTAGAAAACCATAATGTGGTTTGGTAGGAGAGAAATTTTTCGGTTTCCAAATCTTCTATAAAGTTCTCGTTTACGCCCCTAACTTTGAGCTTTCCCTTAAACAGCAGCTTCCGGATGGCACACTTGCTAGGAATACGTTAATTCAAGAGTCTCCGCCTGGGATTTTTGTTTCACACAGTACAACTTTCTGTTCTAGAATTCTGTCAAAAATAGACTCCTCCATGGTGACTTGTATAATTGTTTGAGTGTGTGTTGTGCGAACTTCCACAACATATAGAAAAAGCAATACGCGAGGAAGACCTATTAGCGTTGCAAACATTTGTAAATTATTGCTCCTAATTATTCATGATACGTGGAGAATTTCGCGCGGATATTCCTGATTGAAAAGATTATGTTTGCAGACTTAACAAATTTTTAAGCTCATAGTATAATTCAACGTATACTATTTATACCCCACTCTACACTGTGGTTTGTGCATTTATTTGTAACATGGCGAAGGAAATGAAATAGACCCATAGTTCCTCTTGATCCTTGATCATCCGATTTGACGTTTATTGTCCAACTGGTTAATATCAGCCGAAATTGAGTGGATTTTTGCACGAATTCAGACTAGAAGCAAATACTTCCAATATATATTTTATAATATAATACTTCTCGAAGTCATACTATGCTCTATAAGTAGTGGCTCCGTCAAATTTGGTGGAAATCTATTCAGAGTTGGATATGATTCCAAATTATAACTGTTCTAAAGCTCTAATGCGCGATCCACTTCACATTAATTCCCAATTTAAACTTATATTTTTAATGGGTAGTTCTTCTAAATATACATAGTGGTGTAGGGTATCATAAAGTCAGCCACGTCCGACCTTTCACATTTCTTTACCGGTTGTTTTATTTGACGCTATGCTTAGAAATTGCACTTATATCAGAGTTTAGCTCAACTCGACAATATAAGAATATGACGCGAATGGAAATTATTAATTAAATTCTTGTTGGTATCCCAAAATTGATATTGTCATTTCCGAAAATTGTATTACACGTACATTATCTTCTGGATCTGACTGTTTAACTTGATGTTGAATACTTATTCCTTTGACACCATTTGCCTTAAATCAAGTTTTTCTAAAAATGTGAAAAATGTTAATCCATGTACTGAACAATATTTAAATTGTATAATTAAAACAGGTCGATAGAATATCAGTAAGTCGGCGAAGCCCGATTGAAGTAGAATTACGTGACTACTTTCGTTTGCTTGAAATTTTTAATCGACATCAAGAAGCCAAATGTTATTTCTTTCAATTTTACCATTAATTATTATTATTCTGAGATCTGATAAAGCCACAAAAAAAAATTTGTATTAACTTTCGTATCGAAAAAATGCTGTCCTATAATTTTTCAAAAAGTACTTTTGTTTTGGTTATTATATATTTATGCGATGTATAAGCAATAATCAAATACTGAATTCGCAAAAATATATAAAACATATAATATGTGTGTGGGTGTGTATTTGTGTGTATATAGTACATATGTATGCAAGTGTGTTGTGTTAGTTAAGCCAAGTTTAATTACAATACTTATTTTCTGCACAGAAAATTTTGTCAGAATATAGATACCTCCGTCCTTATAGTAATTCACGGATACATAATTTTAGTAAAATATTTCATAATTTATAGATTAATAAATAGAATATTTATACTGACGTTGTTGACTTAGGCTTCCATTATCCACTCCCGGTTGGGAGTGGACCGAAGCACCTGAAGAATCGTTTAACTGATAGAGGGTCGATGACTTTGAGTCGTTCGTTACCAAGGCGGTATTTACATCTATCGATTTGTTAGTACAAGCACTTGAACTTAGTGAACTATGGTTAGCATACGGTTTGGAGCGATCACTACTACTACTACAACTACTATGACTATGATTGTTACTACGACTATCACATTCAGCGGAAGCAAAAGCACAAGCATTGGGGAAAATGCGTTTGAAGGCTGTAGAAAACATTTGGGTAATACCTGTATCGGCCAAGCGAGCTTTTCCATTGGCGGCAGCTGGATCGTGTGTTTCGGATTCCGGCCGATGTTCCACGGAACCATTGCCATTTAAGGTTGCTGCTTTGGAATGTCCATTCATTAAAGGTTGTATTTGTTTGGATGCTAAGGAAAATGGCATGGCATTAAGGATATGTTGTAAAGAGCTTCAATTAATACCTTACCTAGATGTTTCTCCACATCTTCATCGTTGTCACCACCATTGGCATCCGTTCCATTTGCGGTCACCATAACTCCGTTCGTCTTCTCCAATGATGGATCGTCTCTAATGAAACGTATCAAAAATAGTATGGCCGATCCAATGATCGGTGGTATGCCAGCCAATATCAATGGTATTGTGTATGAACCAGTTTTGTCGAAGATTATACCCGCCACCGGAGGCCCAATGGTAAGTGGTAGTGAACTTAGACCCAACAAAAAGCCAATGGCTTGTGTTGCTCCCGACGGTCCACATATCTCGTAGGCAATCGGGCCCAATAGCGATATGAAGCAGCCGTCGAACAGACCCATAATCAAACTGAATACAATGAGCAGGACATAGGAACTGGTCAGGGGGAGTAGGATTGTCACTACACCAATGCAGCTCAATGACAGTTGCTGCAAGTATATCCTGTTGACGCCGGGAAGATCGGCTATGGCTCCGAATATCAAACGGCCTAGGCCGGAGGTTATACCAATGGACATAACTGGAAGATTTTGATCATTGTTCGGATAGGACATTTGTACAAATTTCATCATGTGAACATAAGGTACAAAGTAACCGAACAGAGCCATCGGAATGCACAGGGCCCAAATGACATACTTTTTACGCTTCCAAATTTCCACATTGATGATGGACCGCATTACCATGCTGGCTTTCGAGCGTCCTGGTTTCTTTTTTGGTGGCGCTGGAGGCGGGTGCAGTGGTTTGTACACAAACGAACATAGAATTACAAAGGTACAAATAACGCTCATTATTCTCAGCGTCGTCTCCAGATCGTACGATTTAATTAAGTAATCCATGCCGGGTGGCAAGATAACGGTGAAAACACTCGATCCCGCCGTCACAAAACCACTAACTTTACCCAGGTACCGTTTGAAATAGTGACCCAGAATAGCTAAGGTCGGGGTATAGGCTAGGGCGGCACCCAGACCAAACATGATGCCATAGGTGACGTACAAAGCTCCAGTACTGTAGGTAAAGAATGATGATAGTAACAGCCCACCGGAAGATAAAATCCCTCCGATTAGTGTGGTAAGGCGTAGACCGATTTTGTCTGTGAGGCAACCGGCCACCGGAGAAAGAAGAAATGTTGTCCCAATGGTCAGTGAGCCCACAAGTGCTGGAAAGAAGATAAAATAAGAGATAATCAACGTATTTGTATATTTAAAAATATTTTTTAAATTAACTATTAAATATGGTGTTTACTCCCGTGAAAAGACTTGCAAAACTTTTCAAGTTCGTAAAACATATCTGCTAATTTTTTATTAAAAGTTCTACAAACCCCACAAAATAATGTCCTAGTTGTTAAATCGGCAATACGTATTAAATCATTATTCGTTTTGTTAGGTTAGGTTGCAAGGAAGGGAAGCAAGTCCAAGTATTTATTTGTTTATACAGTTTAATTACTACAGCAAACTAACTTCAGCCAATAACCTATGCATTGTTAAACATCGATTAGTCGTATCTTTATTTGGGTTATTGGCTTGTATACAATAAATAATAATGTAGATCTGTTTATTGCTGACATTTAAGAACTGTAAAAAGTAGGAAATAAACTAAAAGCAAAGTTGAGAAACGAAGTTCAATTAAATATGTTCTATTTGAACCAGCGGTGCTCAAGAAGAAATATCTCTTTTCAGTCAAATTTCTCTTTGCTTATTTAAATCAAGAGCAAAACAGTGGTAAGTCATTATTTATACAAATATTTTTTATCCATTTGCTTTATAAATTATTTTGGCAAACATTCGTGTTTAAAAACAATTAAATAGAACCGTAAAATATAAAGAAAAACAGAATTTTAATTTTCTCTTAAATTATCTCTTTTTTCTCTTCATGTTCTAGAACACGGTTTTGAGCACCGCTGATTTGAACGCACATAAATCAGCTATAAGTCTGCTGTGCTCATCATTCCGGGCATACTTTTATGTGTAGGTGTACATGGAAACCCGGAAAGAAATTGCTGCTATTGGTTTATTAAACTCTGTTTTAGTTAGCGGCATAAAGTTATTTGTTTTGTAATCATTTGGGCGACCCATATGTCGTTAGAATTTCTGCTATATTGTCTGTACACCAGACTACAAATGTGTATGTTAGAATGGATTAAATTATGTTCATCTTAGGTTGAAGTACCCAATTTGCGCCTGTTCCTTTCTACGGATGGAAAGAGCTCACAGATCTTAAATGGACGTAGCCATTCCAATGGCCTTAAATCAATGAAATGTGAAGCTAGTGAAAATGTTTATTGTCTTATTCATGAAAAGTGATTCATCGAAATGCCCTATCATGGTTTTCCTAGAGATAATTCCCTTCTCCGTTCTTACGTTAAGATCTCTTGTTCTAGTTTAGTTGTAAGTTATTTTAATGACAGTAGATTTGGCGTTTTCCCCTCGGAAATGATAGATCATCGTCTGCAAGTTTTCAAAAGACTACAGGGTGAGATGAAAAAACTGCAACCAACTTCAGACTGCTCTCATTTCTAAGCCACTCGTCCGACATATGTTAAAATTATTACAGTGACAGATCATAATATTGTTTACAAGAATTTTCCAGAAAAAAAGTTATTTGTGATAGAATTCAAGCGTGATAGTGTAATTTCCTCATATTTGGCTGGAAAACAACAAGTGGCTATCGTTACAGTGCTCCAGCATTTAAATGTGAATAAAGCTTTTATGTCTCGTACCATCGCTCGGGACCGTGATACTGGTAGCGTAGCCCGACGTCAAGGAAGTGGACGGAAGAAAACAGCAACATCAGCAGCAATGGTTCGAAAAGTAAAGAAGCGAATTGATCGAAACCGGCGTCGCACTGGCCGGAAAATGGCTCGTGAGCTGAACATATCGCAATGCTTCATTTGGCAAATATTGAAAAATGAGCCATTGAAATTCCAAAAAGTGCAAGAACTTACACCGCAACACAAAGAAAATAGACTCAAAAGAGCTAAAAAGTTGCTTCCCTTGGCCGAAATTGGTTTTCTCCGATGAGAAAACATTCGCTGCAGTTTGTAAGCGAACAAAATGATCGTGTTTACTTGCCAAAGAGGTCAGGTGAAAATGTGCACCTCCGGTTGACACCCGAACTCAAGGTCGCTCTCCGCTCGTATTAATCGACCGTAGCATCAGAATAAATGCTGAATATTATCGCGATGATATTCTGGAGGGTGTATTAAAGCCTTGGGCACGCAAACATTTTGGCCGCAGATCTTGGACATTCCAACAGAACTCAGCACCATCGCACTCAGCACTTCCCCGCTTCATTTCCAGCGCACAATTGCCACCAAAACCTCCGGATACCAATCAGTTGGACTATTTTGCCTGGAGTATTTTGGAAAGCAAGGTTGGCACTAAAAAATACGAAAGTATCGATCACCTCCGCCGGGAATGGGCCATAATACCGCAGAGCAACATTTAAGCAGTGTGTGACGGTTTCATTGGCCGTTTAAAGGCCATAATTCGTGCGAAAGGTGACCAATTCGAAAAAATCTAAACTTATTCTAAAATTGATGCTATTTCCGACATTTTTTGCTTTCATTCAATAAAATTAAAAAAATAATGTAAAAGTTATGGCGTGTGACTTTGTTACAGTTTTTTATCTGACCCTTTATTTTTACTCCATTGGACCCATTGGACCAGTTAAAAAATATCGCTTTGTGACGTCAGGTAGCTTGCAGCTTGTGTACTTTTCCTTAGCATGTGGTTTATTCAATCCAAAGAGCCTAGATCACCTTGAAAGTATTTAAGCGTTAAACGCGAGTTTCCTTTCCAAGGTATCCTACGTAATGGCATGGCACGATTAATCGAAAATTTAGTAATAACCGAATATTTTTTCTCCCAAATTATATTTTGGACAATTGAATTAATCGGCCATTCAAAATAATAATCGATAGACACCCAAAACCAAAAATGAGCATAGACGGTAGCAACCCTAGTTACTAAAGGTGCATGAAGTCTTTGCATGATGCCAAGCTGCTAATGTACCCTCACCTTAATACCGTTCGTGATCGGCCACGTTCAAAAATGAAATAGACGCATGGGATGATATAAGATCGGTCTAACCTAAGCTGTGCCGCCTTGCACAAAAATAGTTATGTTCGATAACTCGAAAGTTGTTATATAATTTTTGCTTAGTAAATTTTCCTAGTAAGAAATTCTAAACTCTCAGAATGCAAATTGCATTGCCGATTTACTCTCTTTTACTGGATTTTGTACAATGTATTACAAAATATTGAGTTATCATGCATACCTAATATTTGTTCGGTTCCAGAACCTTCAAGAATCGACTAGTTTTGCAATTTTTTTCAATAGCAAAAAGAAAATATCGGTTTTCGTTGTAAAAACTTCTACTTTCTTTCAGTTCTGGAACAGACCAATCACTTTTTGATTGGTATGTCTGTACCATCAGAACAACTTTTTCCAAAGCAGGTGCCATTATAACGAAAAAACGGAGCAGATTAGCCAAAAACGGCTATCAAAGCTCCTATTTTTAAATTCTGTACTAAATAAGTAAATTCATTTGTAATAATTTGAATAAACAGATAATTTTGTAATTATTAAATAATTAAGTGTTTTTATTTATGGCAATTTTCTATTTTTGCTAAAAATATGGATTTATCGATTAATTGTTTCTAATTAATCGCCACTCGTTATTTATCATTTCCATCAATCAAATGAATTATTTATTCTTTTTATACCAAACACCATGTTTCACGGTATTATGGCTTTGTGCATTTGATTGTATCAGGCAGAAGGAAACGAAATAGACCCATAGTTCCTTTTGATGATCTGCGTAAAATCACATTCTGAGTCGATTTATGCATGTCACTTCGTCCGTCAATCTATCCATGTATTTTAAACAAAATACAAGTTGCATTTATTACCCGATCCAGATGAAATTTTGTACAAGTCATTTGTTTGACCGAAGGACGAGTTTGAGATAATCGGTCAAAATTTAGATATAGCTACCATAACAAAGATGCATCGTCCGATTTGCTTTTTATTGTGCACCATACGTGTGATATCAGTTCAAATAGTATGGAATTTTGCACATACGACCAAATTAATCCTGAAAATAAGGATGCCAAATAGGGTCGAAATCGGTTTACATACGATATAGTTCCTTACATATTTTTCATTTGGTTTTTATGTTTTTTATTTGTTTTATAAAGCTCTCCTCAATATGCAAAGGGGTGTAGGGTATCATCAAGTCGGCCCGCCAGATTTTTACTGGGTTTTTATTTACAACACAGGTAACTCAGGGCTGCAATACTCGTATAATTTACAATCGAAATAAATGTACGATTATATATTAAATATTAATTTGAATAATAATTGTAAGATATCCCCCGAACGCTTTCGACATTTAGAGTTCCACAAACTAACACATTCAAGGCAAGATTACAGAAACGAAGCTCAAGAAGCCAAACGCATGAAACAGACGTTGTAGGTAATGCGTCGCATTTACTTTGCCATTTCCATAAGAGAGCAAAATGGCAACAATAACAACGTCTTATGACCATACTCATGTCCAGAGCGTCAAAGAATCGATTTGAATTTATTAGCCATCTATGACCACATCAAGCCGGCAATCGCATTCAAAGGAAAGCAGACGTCAATCATAGCAGCAATAATCCGCTGAACACACACATCGAAGCTCTCGTCTGAAAGCAGAAACAAAAAAACAATAACACCAACAGCTGCTGCTGTCTTTTCAAAGCTTTAATGGACTGACGTTTCGGCGGTGCAGATGATAAAGACAACAACTGTAATCTTCATTCAAACACCCATCACATTTACCACTTATGACACCTACATTCTGCGTTCGTCCGTCTGTCTGTCGAGCTGTCCAGCTGCACTGTTCCACTACATTTCACTGAACCTTCACGTGCGTCGCCTTGCAAGTTCTAAAGACAACAGCAAATGACGGGTTGGCTTGTGCCAGATATTCGCTCCATTTAGTCCAAGATTAGGCGTCAAATGTGATCGGAGATCAAATAGAGGCACAAATGATGGCAATTAACAACCAGCAAAAACGTACTTCGTGCAAAATCTTTGCAATTGAATTATTTTCTAATCTAATTGTTTTTCTTTGCAAAACACATGCACAACACAAACACACACTCACATA